CAGCAGAGATACGAGTGAAGACTTGCTCCTTGATTGTTTGTCTTTCCAAACTTAGTCACATACCAATCTTCTCATAACTTTCGATCTTCCGGGATGTTGCCCTTGATTTGTGCCTTAACTTAAGGCTTGCTTGATTCTCTCCAACGTTGCTCTTTGCTGATTGGATTCCGTCCAGATTTGCGAGTCCTTTCCTTAGTTGTCCAGATTTGCTGATTGTATAATAATCTTTGCTAATTGATTTCTTCCCTTATTCATCATGATTGACTCCAGCATTCTTGTGGTATCTTCTTGACTTCTTGTAATTGATTCATGCACATGTATATTATTTGCATCATTAAAACTGGATCTAGCAATCTCCCCTTTTTTGATGATGGAAAAATAATATAGTAATAAAAAGAAGTAAATACCAGTCGACTTCCCTGTGTTTTACTCCCCCTCAATGTATGTAGTTGACTTGACTGATCCATGATACTCCCCTCAATGGATGTAGTCGACTAGACTGTGGCCAAGTCGACTTCTCCGCTATACCTGTAAAAATACATATGCTACCTGGACAATATAGATTCTCTCCCTTTTGTCATCAGCAAAGAGGGAATAAAACGAGAACTAAAGAGATATCATTAAAACTAAGGAGGTAAAGTGAATATCCAACGGCTGGGCACAGAAGCAGCACAACAAAAAAATAGAAGTCATCCAAAAGCTGAAAACACAGCCCAAAACCAACAGAAAACAAATTGTCTTAAAACAACCACACTAGCGGCGCAGGAAATAGGTAAGGGTGTTGCAGATGGCCTCCTTTAACTGTTCGAAGCTTGCATTCGCAGAGACGCTCACACCATCCAACCTGTCATGAATCTCCCTGAAAGCTTTGACAGCATTCTCCCTCACTCTGAGAACAACAACTCTAATTTTGGACACGTCAGACCCTGTTTCTTTGGAAATAACATGAATGTCACCAACAGTAGACTAAGTAGCTGTGAGAAGGTTCTTGATTTCAGAGAGTTGAGAGTTAATAGCACAAAGCTTTTCACTAAGCTCAGAACTGTCAAGATTAAGTGGAGGAACAGAGGGTGAAGGTTTGGGTTCTACAGGGGCCTGCTTTGCTTCACTCTCGCTCTTCTTAACCCAGGAGCCCTTGATATTCACATAGCCCATACTAGCAAAGGCTCTAGAATTGTAGGACTTGGAGACAGTGATGAAAATAGTTGGACAGGGAAATTTGATGGGCTTCCAGAATATGAGTGATTGCCGTGCCACAGGGTAGACTAGTGGGATCTTCAACACTCTCGATCATGAATTGATAACCCAGGAGGAAAGCTTGATTTTGAGTTTGGTTACAAGGCAATAGACAAAGAATATGTCTCTTTGAGAGAAGGTTGAAAAGGAGCCAGTACAGGGAAGCAAAGTGGTTGCCACAATGTGGGCCAGAACCCAAGTTTCGAAACTGACATCACTGGGACCTAGTTGGTTTGGAAGGGATTCAGAGGGACACTCAACAATACACTGTTTGGCTTGGTCAAAAGTAATTTCGAAGTCATCAGGCTAGATGTTTTTAAACAAAGTAGGAAAACCATAACAACGACACTGAAAAAGTGCGTCAAACAGGGCACAATCAAGAACAATGCGCTTACCTAGCACTAGAGATTCCAACCTATCAGGTTTACTAGAACGAAGATTTGCATAAAACATTTTGACCAGGGGTTCATATACCTTAGGCGGAGGAATAGAGAAGAACTCTGCCCACCCTTGATAAACGAAAAGTTCTTTGACCTTACAATTAAGGGCTTCCATGTCATCAAGATCGACAACCCTTCCATGAGCAATGGGCTTGTCTTTTAGAGCAATAAAAAGATCCCTATTTGGGGAATCCCAGAAATTTAGGTCAGATTCAAGAGAGGCAGAGAAATCAACCTTTGATTTCTTTGGAGTGGACGAAATAGGGGGTTCTTCCATGGGTCGCTTGCCTAAAGCCTTTTCTCCTAGAAGTTGTGAGTGTTCAGAAAAATCTCCCTGAGATGAGGTGAAGCCTTCAGAGTGATCAGACCCTACGTCTACTTGTTCAGGGGGCGCAGAAGGGGGTTTTGCTTTGGAACAGGTGCTCTTTCTGGTGGAAGCAAAGGGATTTTTGGAGTGTTTCGCTATTGTAGAGAAGGAGCTTTGATTGAAACTTTTGGAGAAGAGATGGAGATAAGAGTGATTGAAGGGGTTTTCTGTCTTAAGAAGAGGGTTTTGACGGTTGTAGGAAAGAAAAAGTTGTCAGTTGAGAAGACGTGATGATTGGCTTTCCATCTTCGAATTGCAAACTGATGTGAAAGAAGTGAAAAGAGAGGGAAAAACGGAGGCATAATTAAAGCATGGGAAAAGGACAATAAAATTAACTAAGCACATAGGTCCTAAGAGTTATTAGAAGTGCAAATAATACCAAGTAAATTTCTTAAAGTACAAAATCTCTCTTCTAATAAAGGCTTAGTACAAATGTCAGCTAGTTGAGCAGAAGTTCCAACAAAAGATATTTCTATGTCTCCCTTAAGAACATGATCTCTAATGAAATGATGCTTAATATCTATATGCTTTGCTCTAGAATGATGCACAGGATTTTTCAAAAGACAAATAGCACTAGAATTGTCACAAAAAATTTGTATAGGCTTAAACGAAAGTTCATAGTCACCCAATTGATGAGATATCCATAGTAGTTGTGCGCAACATTGTCCAATAGCAATGTATTCGGCTTCCGTAGTGGACAATGCGACTGATGCTTGCTTTTTACTATTCCAGGATATTAATGCCTTTCCTAGTAATTGACATGTACCGCTTGTGCTTTTTCTATCCTCTTTATCACCTGCAAGGTCAGCATCTGAGAAACCTTCTAATTTAAAAGAGTTAGAGCGAGAATACCATAATCCATGAGATACAGTTCCAATGAGATATCAAATGATTCTCTTTACAGCGGTCAAATGTGACTCCTTGGGAGCTGGCTGAAACTTGGCACATTTACATACACTGAACATGATGTCTGGTCGACTTGCTGTCAGATACATTAGTGATCCAATCATTCCACGATATTTGGTTTCATCAACAGGAGTGCCCTATTCATCTTTGTCTAGATTCGTAGAGGGGCTCATTGGAGTGCCAATTGATTTTGCATTGCTCATACCAAATTTTTGAATCAGCTCTTTTGTGTATTTGGTCTGACATATGAAGGTTCCTTCTTCAGATTGTTGAATTTGTAGCCCATGGAAGAATGTAAGCTCACGCATCATACTCATTTCAAATTCGCTTTGCATAAGATTTGAAAGTTCCTTGCACATAAGAGGGTTAGCACTACCAAATATAATGTCATCAACATAAATTTGAATAATGAGGTTACCTTCTGATGATCGTTTAATAAACAGGGTAGTATCAATTTTACGTCTTGTAAAGCCATGATCAACAAGAAAGGTACTTAGCCTATCATACCAGGCACGTGGAGCTTGTTTCAACCCATACAGTGCTTTAGAATTTTGAATCTTCAAAGCCTGGAGGTTGTTTCACAAATACTTCTTCATCGATGAATCGATTTAAAAAAGCGCTTTTAACATCCATTTGGAATAGCCTGAAACATTTAAAAGATGCGTATGCTAGAAGAATTCGTATAGATTCCAAACGAGCTACTAGGGCGAAAATTTCATCATAGTCGACTCCTTCCTGTTGTGAGTAGCCCTTAGCAACTAGTCTGGCTTTATTTCTTATGACCTTTCCATCTTCGTTCAATTTGTTCCTAAGCACCTACTTTGTTCCGATTACAGACACATTATCAGGTTTGGGTATTAGTTTCCACACTTGATTCTTGCTGAACTGATCTAACTCCTCTTGCATGGCTTGCACCCAGCTTGAATCTTTCAGTGCTTCCTCTATCTTTTTTGGCTCAATTTGAGAGATCAAAGCGATGTTTGCTTTCTTTTTGAGAGTTGCCCTGGTTTTCATTCCTTTGTTAGGATCTCCTATAATGAATTTCTGAGGATATTCAGGCTCGCTTCTCCATTCATTTGGACGAACTGCATTTGTAGTCGACTCGATTTGTGGATCTGGCATATTGCTGCTATTTTCACCAGTTGACTCAGTCGCAGCTGGTGTATTAATCGACTCTTGTGATTCGCCTTTATCCTGAGCTTTTTGAGTTTGATCTTCGTCACCTGCAGTAATTCCTTTCTCGACCAAGGGATTATTTTCATCGAATATAACATGTACAGATTCTTCTACACATAAAGTACGTTTATTATAGACTCTAAAAGATCTGCTATTTAATGAATAACCTAGAAAAATACCTTCGTCATTTCTTGGATCAAACTTTCCAAGATTATCCTTACCGTTATTGTGAATGAAACATTTGCTCCCGAAGGGATGGAAGTAACTGATATTTGGACGTTTACCTTTCCAAAGTTCATATGGGTTCTTCAGTATTGGCTTTATGAGACAGTGGTTGAGGATGTGACATGCTGTACTTACACCTTCTGCCCAGAAGTGGTTTGACAATGAGTGTTCTAGTAGCATGGTTCTTGCCATATCTTGGAGGGTTCTGTTCTTTCTCTCCACAACCCCATTTTGTTGTGGTGAGCGTGGTGCAGAGAAATTATGAGTGTTTCCCTGATCATTAAAAAAATCTTCAAATGCTCTGCTTTCAAATTTTCCTCCATGGTCACTCTGAATTGTTGAAATCAAATGTCCCCTTTCTCTTTTAACCCTTTTGCAGAAAACTTTAAAATTTCTTAATGCTTCATCTTTATGAGACAAGAAGATTACCCAAGTGAAACGTGAATAATTATCAACAATAACAAAGGCATACCTCTTTCCTCCCATGCTAGCAGTTCTAGTAGGCCCGAATAAATCCATATGAAGTAATTGCAAAGGTTTTGAAGTAGACACTATATCTTTATTTTTGAAAGAATTTTTGGTCTGCTTACCCATTTGACATGCATCACAAATATGAGTTCTAGAAAAATTCAATTTGGGCAAACCAACAACTAATTCATGTTTGGACAGTTTTCTATCAAATGCATGCTAACATGACCAAGTCTCTTATGCCATAGCCATGGATCATCAGACATAGAGGATAAGCAAATATGACCATCTATCTTTTCAAAACCATCAAGTATATAAACATTTCCATACCTTTTTCCAGGAAGAATTATTTTACCTGATTCATCTTCAATAGCACATCCAGTTTTCTTAAACTTTACCTCATATCTTGAGTCGTAGAGTTGACTTATGCTCAAGAGGTTGTAGTTGAGGCCATCGACGAGATAAACTTCAGTAATGTCACAATTGTTATTAAAGGGAATTGTTCCAGTACCAACTATTTTGCCCTTTGAATCATCCCCAAATTTAACACTTCCTCCATCGATTTTTGTATCTTCTTTGAACAGGTTTTTGTCACCTGTCATATGACTGGAACACGCACTGTCTAGATACTATTTTCCTTTGCGGCTTACTCTGTGGTGTTCCTGCAAGACAAGATAATTACTTTCTTTTAGGTACCCAAGCTTGCCTGGGTCCTGGAGGGTTAGTGTTACTAGGTTCAGAACTCTTTGGTTTCCAAACCCATCCTGACACATTTGATTTACGAAAATGACAAAATGAATATTTATGCCCACTTTTATTACAGTGATGACACTTAACATCAGACCTGCTTATAGGTCTTTCATAGGTATTGGAACTAGTAAACTTGGTTCTAGCAGGTTCTTTTCCAGTTGACTTGTAAGTTGTCTTGTTTGACCTAACAGAACTGTGACGGGTGGATTTGCGCATGCTGTTGAGCTGCATTTGCAAATCCTCAAACTCTTCTTGAAGTACTTCCTTTTCGATTTCACATACTTCATGTTTGAGTTTCCAGTCTTTAACCTCCCTAGTGAGTCTCTTAAGTTCATTCATCATTTTTTGAGACTCTTTCAAGGTTGAATTAAGGATATCCTGCAATTCATTACATCTTTCACAGTCATAAGATCTTACCTCACTAGTTTCACCTCGTGCCATGAAACAGTTTTCATTCTCGTCATCTGAAACATCTTCATCTGTCCAGCATCCTGAAGTTTTGTTCATTTCATTTTCCAGAATTGTCATGAAGCAGAGATTTGCTATTTCTTCATGGTCAGAGTCATCCTCATCGCTCCAGCTTCCGAAGGATTTGTTCTTGTTGAAGCCTCTAGAGATCTTCCTCTTTAGTTCTAGGCATTCAGCTTGAATATGCCCAAATTTTCCACATTCGTAGCATTTTCCATCATTCTTATCCTGTTCGTTGTATTGCCTGGATCGTCTTGGTGGAAATCTTCCTTTCTTTGTGTTCCTGTATCTTCTCTTTAGCCCATCCATATTTCTAGACATCATAGCAATCTCTTCTTGCAGAGCTTTAGGATCATCAATTTCATTTTCAGCCATTTCAGTAGAGGTTTTGAATGCAACTATTTTCTTTTTCTCCTCTTGATTTGTCTTTTTGAGATGCGTCCTTTCAAAGGCAATTAGTTCTCCTCGTAGTTCATCATAGGACAATTTGTTTAGGTCTTGAGATTCCAGTGTGACTACTTTGGTCTGCCAAGTGGTTGGCAGACTTCTGAGAATTTTTCTGACTTGATCACCATTGGTGTAGGGCTTGCCAAATGCCTTTAAATCGCTAATTATTTTGCTAAACCTGGCAAACATCTCTTCAATGGATTCTCCTTCTTTCATTGAGAAAAGTTAGTAATCATGAACCAGCATGTTGATATGTATTTCCTTTATTTTGCTGGTTCCTTCATAGGTGACCTCAAGTTTGTCCCACATCTCTTTGGCTGTGTCACAACTTGATATTTTCTCGTATTCTTCACCACTTATAGCGTTATGAAGCAAATTTCTCGTCTTGTTGTTCACTTGTACTACTTCTAGTTGCTCCTTTGAGTATGAATCTATATCTTCAGGGTCAGCAAGTGATGGAGTGCTAGCTGGTAGGGGATAGTTTCCCTTTTTGATGACTCTCCAGACTTTGACATCGTAAGCTTTAGCAAAGATTTTCATTCGTACTTTCCAGTGAGAAAAATATTGTCCATTGAAGTATGGTGGTCTAACTTGTGAAGTTCCTTCCTGAAAAAGAGCTCCTATGATAACCTGATTTGCCATGATCTTTTCTCACAAGCTGTTAAGCAAAAGTAAAATGTAACCCTTGCTCTGATACCAATTGAAAGTACAAGAGGGGGGAGGGTGAATTGTAAATCTTTAAAAATAATCGCTTATTAGTTGACTTATTACTAGAGTAGTCGACTAGATATGATAATTTAGAAAATATAATAAAAGTAAGTAAATTGCAGAAAGTATTTGCAGGAATTAAAGACACCAGGATTTTTATACTGGTTCGGATTCAATGTGAATCCTAGTCCAGTCCCGTTGGGTTGCAAGAGAGTTTTCTTTAGTAAATGAGTTTCTCCGAGTACAGTTGTAGTGAATTTCACTCAGTTTCTCTAGCACTCGTTTTTGATACAATGCCTCACCAGTGTTATGCTCTNAAAGTATATCAGACTAGGGTTTAAGGCGGGATATAAATACTTTGATGGATGGTAGAGGCTTTACAACCCAAGAGATTTGATCCTTGGAAAGAAATTGATTCTTTCCAAGAATAAGATAGTAAGCCATTGCTTCTCCTTGATTTCCTTCCTTCAGCAGAGATACGAGTGAAGACTTGCTCCTTGATTGTTTGTCTTTCCAAACTTAGTCGCGTACCAATCTTCTCGTAACTTTCGATCTTCCGGGATGCTGCCCTTGATTTGTGCCTTAACTTAAGGCTTGCTTGATTCTCTCTAACGTTGCTCTTTGCTGATTGATTTGCTGATTGGATTCCGTCCAGATTTGCGAGTCCTTTCCTTAGTTGTCCAGATTTGCTGATTGTATAGTAATCTTTGCTAATTGATTTCTTCCCTTATGATTGACTCCAGCATTCTTGTGGTATTTTCTTGACTTCTTGTAATTGATTTCCTGCACATGTATATTATTTGCATCATTAAAACTGGATGTAGCACAGACTACCCTTCCCAGCCCCCACTTGCTGGGAACATACTGGGTTTGTTGTTGTTGAAGTTGTATTTGGACATGCGTTTTATTTGAAGAAAAGTTAAAGTTTTGTGAGTGGAGGAAAAATTTTCGCCCAAAAATTGCCATAAACCAGTCTTTGGGAACTTGAATTTTTTTTTCCTAAACATGATCATATTTCATAAACAAACAATGTTTTCAATTTTTTTTTTTGAAAAAATGAAGCCAAAATCTATGGCCAAACGGGAGCTAAGTGACACCGGCGGGAACTTTGGATTTCAAATAAGATAATTATTCAACTTATTGATCACGGGTATATTACATATCTTTAAAGGCCATATTTTGAGACATGTAACCCGTGGGTTATGGGCTTTTCTTTTGCCTAACTTCTAAATATCTTTTGTCCTGCCATAGTTCAGGTTTTTTCTTTACAATATGGCTAATTAGCTATGGAGTTTGTTTTATGGTGTATCTTTATTCATCTATATGCTGTTTGAAAAATGGAAACTTGCTCCATTTATTCATTTTCCAAAAAGGAACAGTTTCCTCCCTTTCTTACAGAGATAGCTATTAATCAATATGGTTTAGAAGATGGAGATGCTTTCTAGGCTGTTCCCTTTATGACACCAACCATTGTATACAGGACCCAGATGACACACTGAAACGGAAGACTTTTGAGCTGCTGTATAAAATGACAAAGCCATCGAATGTAGAAGTTATTGTCGACCGTATGATTGATTACATGATGAGCATAAATGATAACCATTACAAAACTGAGATAGCGTCCAGATGTGTCGAACTGGCCGAGCAGTTTGCACCGAGCAATCAATGGTTTATCCAGGTCAATTTAGCATAGCAAATTAATTTGTCATAGCGTTTGCTCTATTCTAGTACCAACTACCATGTTTTTTGACGTGCTTACAGACCATGAATAAAGTGTTTGAGCACGCAGGAGATCTAGTAAATTTAAAGGTGGCCCACAACTTGATGCGGCTGATTGCCGAGGGATTTGGAGAAGATGATGATACTGCAGATACCCAGCTGAGATCATCAGCTGTATGTGTTTTTAACTTTTTGCTTTGATTGGTGCTGAATTTCTTTTTCAGCTTTAATGGATATTCATCATTGGTGATAAACGATACAATCTTGAGCCTTCATTTTGGAATACTTGTATATATGATTTTTCCCATGCAATAATAATTGCTGTACTTTATATAGAAAACACATTACTGCCCTGAGCCTGTTTAATCTTTTGAATATAGTTTGGTTTCTCTCAGATGGAAAATTTTAAAAGGCTAAGAGCTAGCATAACTTGGATAGAATCTGGTCAAAACGAAGTAACAAGCTTGATAAAAAGATATGTTTAGATTAGCTATTAACTTATCAACAAAAAAGAAAAAAGAAAAAAGAAAAAAGAAAAAAAGAAATGTTTAGATAACTATTATGCTAGAAATTGGTGGTCTGTCGTCTTATTTTCATTTAAGTAGTATTCTAAGCTATAGTTTATTTCTTACTGAAAGATGGTTTTGGTAGTTGAGGGCCTGAGGTAAATTAACATCTGGATCGTTTTAAAGGAACTCCCCTGGGGGTCTTATTGTATCAGTTGCATACATGTATTAGAAGGAATTATTGAATACGTGTTAAACTTTTATTCTCTGTTCTGATGGCTGGAGAGTAAGCTAATAAATGTTCTGTTAGTGTTAATTCGTAAGTAACTTAAATTTTTGTGATGATTCCTTGTTTCTGTCATGCCAAGCTGAGAATTTGAAATACTCTTGTTGCAGATTCTGGATAATCTTATGTTAAGTGTTATTATTCTGCAGTTACCAATAAAAAAAGTGTTAGCAGTCTGCACTTTATTAAAGGGCCCCGCATTATCTACGTCTTTACACCCCTTTTTCCCTTTATCTTGCTCATGTTGTATATAATTGCACAGAAGATATTGTTTTTGTATATTCTGTTTTTGTGCCTCTAACAGATTACACTTATGATTGGTTGCAGGTGGAGTCATATTTGCGCATCATGGGAGAGCCAAAACTTCCCTCTGCATTTCTCCAGGTTTTCAAACCGGTCCCCCACCTATTTACAGTAATAAAATGTTGCCATGCTCAAATGTCACACATACATGTAATGTTCTCAGTTCACCTCTTCTGGTGCTTAACTCATAACCTTGTGAGTTACAGGTTATTTGCTGGGTCTTGGGGGAGTATGGAACTGCTGATGGGAAGTATTCTGCCTCCTATATCACAGGGAAAATATGTGATATTGCTGAGGCTCATTCAACTGATGACATGGTCAAGGTATGCGAGATCCAATTGCTGCTCTATATCAGCTGCGATCTTCTAGTATGAGCTGTTTCTGTATTACGATACAATTTGATCTTAAAAGCTAGTAAACAGAGTGATGGAAAATCACCTAATGGCATTTGTTCTATTTTGATAAGCTTCCTCAATTTTCTGGCTTTCAGAATCGTTTTACCCTCTTTGCCCTTTGTTCTCGTTTAACTCGACAACCGTAGTTGAGAGTATGTGATCTGAGCAATGTCGGAGGATAGCCCCCAAGTCTGTTCTATGTCGTGATATGATTGTCCAGGACATGAGGTCCTTGAATTATGTATTTGATATCTCCTGCTGTCTTATACCTTTTGTATCATATTCATTTTGATGACAAGTTGATTTTTTATCTCATTACGGTAATTACCATATAAATCAATTTTTGGAACTTAGTATAGTGGCTAGTTGACTTTTCAAAAGAGCCTTGTAAACACTTGATAATGCTGGGAAGTTGGTTCAATAACAGCAGGCTAAAATTTTAGGTGATCTATTGCATGTACTGAATACTGCAAGGGGTTTGATGGCTTTCTTTTTTTTTGTCCAGTACTCTTTTCCTTAGTCACTTCTCGAGACAAACAAAAGGAAATTTTACAAGTATGTTCCTCTGAAGGTGGATCAAACCTTCTTCTCTGTTTTTCCTTGTTTTGACAACATGCTGAATTTCTTTGAAGCAGAAATAGGGGCAACTACTCATTTCTATGGTTGCAAGAGATTACGTTATTTTGTTGGTATGGAGGGTAAGCAAACAAGAATTTTTTTGAGCTATATACTGGTTCTACTGTGAAGAAAAGACCTCTTTTTATAACCGAGAAATCCCGAGGTAATGGACCCGCCCTATACTCTTCTCCACTTAAATACCAGACTTTTTTCTTCGGCAGGGTTCGAACTTGTAACGTGCGCCAAACCCGCACATTACACTTTGCGCTCTTACAATTAGACCAAAGACCTTGGGACTATTGCGAAGAGAAGACTTGTAGCAGACAAAGCATGTGTAACTGGTGCTAAGAAGTTACATCTTTACTTTTATGGAACTTGGAAATTCTTAAATTTTCCCTAATACTGGAGATAGATGCCAAGAAGGGTAGAGTTTTGAAAGACTTACTGCAACTTACATTATTGGTTACTTCATCGAAAACTTACATTATTGGTTAATAAGTGAAATTATTCTTGGCTAGTAGCATTGGATGCATCATGTTCTTCCTGTTTTAGGGATACCTATTTGGTATAGTCAAACTATTTGACATGTTGCTTGTTGATCTTTATGTACTAGTATTAGTCTTAAAAGTCTAAAGCCTTCTCTCTGGTGCTAATACCATGGGTACCTTTGAGGTTGCATGTTGTACAGGCACTCTTGTACTTACGCATTGGGTATTTCTTCATGGTGTTTCCATTATCCTAATTTCAGTATACTGCACCCACACTAAAATATACACTCTTAAAAGTTGAACTCTTTATGGATTTTCGTTTCTTCTTTTATAGGCTTATGCAGTATCGGCACTTATGAAAGTATATTCATTTGAAATAGCAGCTGGGAGGAAAGTGGACATGTTGCCTGAGGTAAGGAATTAACTTTCGAGCCTTCAGTCAGTATTTTTTTCCCTTTGGACAAGATTGATTGAGACGTACTAGTGTTTATCCCAACAGTTAGGCTGAAAGGTTTTCGTTTATTTTGCTGACTCCCTGATTGTATCTTTTGGTAAGTGATGTGATCTGCACCTCTTGGCTCCATGTTGAATAAACTCTCACGTCTACTGTAACAACAACAACAAACCTAGTGTATAGTGTGTATAGTGTCTGGGAAGGGTAGTGTGTATGCAGACCTTACCGTACCTTATACAGATGGAAAACTCTCATGTCTACTGTCAAAAAATAAAAAGTTCTTAGAAAGGGAGAAAAAACCATACCCATTTTGCAGATGCAGAAGAACCATCTTATTTGATTTAATTTAATGGGTGGTGGGGAACTTAGATAACCATGAAATGTAAATTCTTAGAGTCGCAAGGCAAACGCTTTAGTTTTATTTCTTTTTGGTAAAACCACTGGTATAACATCCGATTGCTGATGAAGAGCTTAACACTTGTATATTATTTAAATGAGTTCTCATGAGGGCAAAAAAATGAGAATGAACCTTTTATCTTTGTATTTCTCGCAAGGAATAAAAGAATCTTATTGCTTTAATAGGTCTGTTCCACAAAAGACCATTTTAATATTGAAATGGAATGAGCTCGACTAGAGTGGAATGGATATGGAGGATTCATACAACCAATCCCAACTAGTTCGGGATTGAGGCATATTGATTGATTGCTTGTTAAAAATGAAATTGCTTCCATAATATGAAAAAAGGGGAAAAGCAGGCTGCCTCCCCATTATATTGAAGTAAGCCAAGACTCTTCTAGGCCGTTTGATTGCCGGTTAGATAGGAGTTATACATGTATTAAGACTAGCATAGCTCAAGGATTTTGGTACCTTAAAGTAGCTATTAGCTTATTTTGATTTGATAGAGAGGTCATATGCAAGCTCCAGAAAGTACAGGGAGGTAAATTCTTTTAGCCTAGAGAGATTTCTTCTGGATCAACACAATGTTGAACCTTTTGGGAACCAAACTTCATTAACCATTTATAGCCGACTACAAACTTCAATACACCTCTAGCATTATTATCAAAACTTCATTAATCCAAATGGAATACGTTTTTCATTATTAAGAGGACAAGTTTCAATATGCCTCTAGCATATTCTCAAAACATCACTTATCCAAATGGAATGCATTTTTCATTATTAGGTGCAGTATAGTCTACAAATAGTGTCCAATTGACACAAATCATCTGTGAAGCATACAGAAATCTTTTTCCATAGCTGCAATATTATTTCATGTTGTGTAAGATATGTGATCAAGCTACTCTTTCCAGTTCAGCTGACCTCACTTCTTAGTTCATAGTTTGGAAAAAGAAAGTGTAATTACCTTAATTATATTGCCTTCTTTAGGTTATTTATTCTGTGGCGGTCTATCAATTTTGAATTTATAACTCTGGCTGGATAGTGGAATGACTGATGGTTTACTATAATCAGTTGAGCCGCAAATTTGAGTGACGCCAAAAGTAGGTAAACTCCATTTTCCAATGAACTGTATCGATTCCTTTCTTGGGCCGTGTAAAATTAATGACCAATACATCCAGTATGAAATGAAGAGAGTAATTGTTGTCACATAGAAAAGGAAGTAAAACAGAAAAGGGTTAAATGTATCCTTGTACTATCGAAAATAGTTTAAATATACCCTCCGTTATACTATTTGGTTTTCTGACCCTACCGTTATACTATGAAACAAATATACCCTCATTTTGAACGGAATGCCACGTGGCTGCACATGATTAAATGAACCCATTTTACTTTTCTTAACCCGATTCACTTAAAAAAACCCACTATCCGACCAAAAGTGCCTCCCGTGTAGATCAAACCATTGCCAACATCACAAAAACACGTAGTCGAACAACACACCATCCCAACCTTCTGCACAACTATTTTAGTTGCCATCAAGTCAAAATTCCATATCATACTCCCACAGAAACAAATGATTCAGCTGGTCGAAATAACAATCCACAAATAGGGAGGGCAAAAATGATGAATTTATGGAAAATCCGATCTCATTTGAGGAAAAAAAAATTGGCCATAAAAATTTTTGTTGTAAAATTTCATGATACAAATCTGCAAGCATATGTTGGAAAACTTTCGTGTCAAAACAACTTTTGAAGTCTTCTCATAAGTCAGAGGTCTCTCAGTTTACTTCTTCAATTTGTTACCACCCTGAGCAGGTTGAATCGAATATGCCGTTGTTATTGCAATTAAAGCTGTCTGAGATGCTGCTATGACGGCGTTAGACACCGGAGCGGCGGTCAGAGAGAGAACATGGCATACAAAAGTCGCCGAAAAATTCTTCGGCAAGATTCCGACCATACTCTGAGGTCGGAGTTTCAACTATTTATTTCTGTCTCCCTTAAGGATTTGATAAATAAACAGAAAATATGAAAAAAGAGAGCAATGACTCGTCGGGAAAATGTATTTCCGGTCATATCCAGTAAAATCTGGTCCCAAAACTTTCAGATTTCGACTTCTTATATGTATTTCTCTAGATCTGTGTATAAATGTGTGTGTAGGTATAGAGAAAGGGGAAGAGAAGGTGCGAAGTGAGTAATCTGAAGGTTCTCCATGGTTCCGGCGAATTCGCTGATGGAGATTCCTGCCACGGTCATAACAGTGAGGCGAGGGAGAAAAGAGGAGGAAAAGAGGAGAGAGAGAGAGAAGCAGTGAGGGTGGACTTTGGGTCGGATTGTGGGGTTTTAAGTGAATCGGGTTAAGAAAAGGAAAATGGGTCGATTTAATCATGTGCAGCCACGTGGCATTCCGTCCAAACTGAGGGTATATTTGTTTTATAGTATAACGGTAGGGTCCGAAATAACCAAATAGTATAACGAAGGGTATATTTAAACTATTTTCGATAGTACAAGGATATATTTGACCCTTTTCCGGAAGTAAAATGCTGTGGGTCTAAACTGTGAGTCAGATTGGTGAAAATTGTTAAACAGATGTCAGTAAAAATGACTCCAGATAGGGAAGACCATTCACCAGAAAGTGAGAGTCCTATTTGGTTTACAGTGAGAACAAATGAAATTGGAACGAGAGGAACAGTAGATGTTTTTATGGAATCTCTACTCCAAATCACTCTCTCAAAGCTAGATGCCTACTAAATCTTTTTTGCTGGTCTAAGATAGCTACTGTAATTAGTACTGACCAATTTTTGGATTTTGTTTGTTCCCTCATCTTAGATTGACACACCGTAAAGGGGCTAGCTTTCTTTTATTTATGCATCTCAACTTGTATCTATGCATCTTCTTGATGCTTTTGGTAATATAACACCTTACTTCATCCAAAAAAATAAAAATAAAAATGAAATTGGAGCCATCCACCACCTAAAGAGTAGGAGTTCAATGTTAAATAAGTGAGGCGTCCTACTAACCTAACAGTAGTTTGCTTTTTTTTAATTAGACAGTTGATTTAGAAAATTGCATAACATGGCTGATGGCTTTATAGAAATCATCTTGATGAAATATGCATAATGTAGCCCCAACTCCATCTTAATTTGCCCAGATCCGTTTTGTATTGTTGAGCAACTTGGCCTTCTGTTTTATGGCTTCTAGTAGTGGCAGTACTTAGTGAGATTTATCATCATGTATGTCATCTTCCAAAAACAGGGGAAGGGAAAAAAAATACAATGCTAGATTTTCTTTCAAACCTTAATAAGAATTTCAGACTGCTGAAGTATCTGCTTATTGCAGTGTGAATCATTCATTGAAGAGTTGTTAGCATCACACTCTACAGATTTACAGCAACGAGCATATGAACTTCAAGCAGTTGTTGGCTTAGATGCTCGTGCTGTTGAAAATATTATGCCAATGGACGCTAGTTGTGAAGACATTGAGGTAAGGACTTTGCCAGAATCTATTTCATGTTTCTTAACCAAAGCTATTTCTCAAGTTATGAGCAGGCTTAGCCATATTGTCTGGGTTGTTAGATATTCATGTTTTTACCGCGTGTCCATTTGATGAGTATTACAGTACGTGCATGCATCTTGTTTAAGGGTGTTGTTAGTATCACCGAGTTGTCCCCGTCGTCCC